ATTGTATTTCTCTTTCTTCATTAGTTCAAACTAAAGGAAATAACTATCAAAATTTACACACACCAGCAAGTTAGAAGTAATTCATTTTGATTGATGACAAAGCCATGTTGTCATCAGCAAAAGAGTCTTTGGGGGTGCCAGCCATTTGGCAGATCAAGCACACTATAGCGATCCCGACCATGACAAAGACATGGGCCGGTTAGTGATTCTGACTGGGATGTTCATGGGTATGATAGTAAAAGCAGGGACAGAGACTGGGGGGATAGTAGAACTCACTTGACCACCTAGTGAGCTTTGCTTGTTGTGATTGTAAATGACAAGGTGGGGACATGTTTATTCCTTTTTTGGTTTTAAAACAAGTCAGAGGACATTCTTCCACTGGGTGAAAGGAAACTTTTCCTGCCATGTCTTTATGAAGGTCAGACTACATGAGCTGAAAGAGGGACCAAATTGTTCTGATGAAAAGCGATGAGGGGATGATGATAATGACAGTTCTGAGATATTTTAGCTTTGCACATTGTGGTCATGATTATATATAATACCTTTTTTGAAAGTATATGAGCCATTTTTCCAGGTAGTTTCCCTGATTAGCTTCAACCAGAGAATAGGTACTAATCACAGAAATCACCTGGTGTAGTGTTCGATTGGTATGAAATTCTGTAATACTTGGCCATCTGTGGCACGTGGCTGCCCATCACTGCTCCAGTCACAGCTTTTGGAAAAGATGAGAAAACTCTCTTTGCCGTGTTCTCCAAGTAAGAATAAAATGTACAATCTCTATTACATTCTTATTTACAAAACCTTACCCTTTGATTCTCCAGGTTAGCTACCTAAGACTAATTAGAAGGTTGCATAGCAACAAGATTATGCAGCAGTCGTTGTGTCCTTTTAGCTCTTGTTCTCTGTGATATTATACATGTATCTGTGATACAAAGCTCACATCTGTGCATGTGTTTGTGCATGAGAAGCAAAAGGCACTCGAGCTGCCTACTATTCTGCCATATTCATCCTCAGACACTGAACCATAACCAGTTTTGCTGATGAAGTACACTACACTAATGAATGAATACTTAGCATAATTTTGACATACTTGTTTTCAAACAACAGACAGTGGTTTTAATATTAACTACCTATCTTAAAGCACAAGAGCATGAAACAGCTGCAGTTAATTCATTCTCATTGATATCCAAATGTATGCAGCAAGATTCTGAAAAGTCAAAGCCAATTATGTGCTCTATAGGCTGTGGTCTAAGTATGACCTTTATTTCATGTGATGTTTGTGTTAGTGTTCAAATGAATGTGCCACCAGTATGTCTACGTGTAGACACCTCATGTGACTTTATAGACACCTTATGTGAGTTCCTGTATTCTTACCTGTGTTAATGTTTACATTGTCTACATTGATGCAAGGCAAGGTTTATTTGTATAGCACATTTCAAAACAGATACAGTTTAAAGTGCTTTACATAAGGCAAAGAAATGCATTAGAACAAAATTTAAAAACAATAAAATAGGAATGAACTGAGTTCCACGGTGGTCCCACTATTTCAACAATTCACTTGTCAATAGCGAATGTGGCTTGACCTCCGCATTGTCAATGGAAACATCTAATGTGCTGGTAAGATGCCTGTTGCTGCCAGTAAAGTTGACAATAAAGCTGCTGATTCTGACTCTGATTCTTAACCTTAGCTTGCTACAATAGCAACAGAATTGAATGGCTGAACATGAGTATCAGATGTATTATATAGTTATCAAAGGGGTTTTGTTTTGTCGCCTATAGAACACTATATACACGCAGCAGCTTAAATCAAACAATGGTAATTAACAGTGCCATGTTCTCTGTTCAAACCCTCAGTTCATACAGTGGTAAATCAAACATAAGTCAGTTTTTCTCACCCTACTGGCACATCATGTGACTTTATCCCCCTTGATATCCTGAGGCGTGAGGAGGGCTTGATGCATGTAGTGTGGGTGTCACAATGTTGCCATTTTCCAGGCCACACCTGCCAACTGGCAAGAACATGACTAACCCATAGAGGGCCAGTGGCTGGAAACCTTCCCTCTTCACTAAGCTTCTCAGGCTGGGACCACATGATTTGACGTGACATGGCAGGTGGATAGCGGTACAGGGGACAGCTGGATGCTACGCCCCGCAGGCCTGCTGGGATGTGAAGAGTCTCCAGATCAGAGCTGATTGAACCTGGCTCGCTATTTCCCAAGCTTTGTTTGCGGTGCCACTGCCCACAATGCAGTGACCGCTAATGCTGAATGGTAAAACAAACAACAACAAAAAAAAGGTAAAAACCGAGCCAGTCATGCTCCTGCTGGGAGTTGAACAGTTGGCCTGCATCATTTCTGTGTTCCAAGTCAGCCAATTAGTGACAAACATGATTCCACAGGCAAAGCTACCTCTTATTAATTCATGACTGTTGGAGAACTAGAAAATGACATGTCTGCTGGTAGAGATTACCATATTATTGGCAGATGCTTTTTTCTGTTCAACTAAAAATTATCATTGCTAATTTGTGTACCTGTTATTGTAAGTGTTAGCAAATCATGAAAAAAAAGAAAATAAAGCCTAATACAACTTTAGATAAAAACAGCTTCTAGCAGGTTTCATTTCTAGCCAGGTTGCTTTGTGGGGATTTAAGAAAAAAAATTATAGATAAATAAAACTGGCAAGCAGTGTAGCTTCAATTGATCTCTCATCTAAAACATCAATATCAAATGTCAGGTTTTGGTGTGGGATATGCTATTTTGCATTGACGTTCAACGTTCAACGTTCGTCTTACAAATGAGCATTCCATTGCAGAAAAGCCAAAGATGTCTTGTTTTTCCCGACAGCCGCCTCTAAATGCAATACACACTCAGTTAATTTAAATAAGGGCTGTTACTCTACTTTCTTTCTGTAACTACAATAATCAGATGATGTATATATATGAAATTATTTAAATGGCTTTCTTTGAAATGTAGGACATTAGGACCTCAATGAGAAATTAGACAAAACATTTTCTGGGGATTTGGATAAACCAAAATTATAAATTCCAACATTTTACCACATAATATTAGCTGATGTTTTTCTTAAACTCCTTAAAACTCGCTGACATTACAAGTCATTACAAACTCAGGCTGTGCAGTCAGAAAATTGTTCAAATGGATCTTCAGATGTTGCTATAGTTATAAGATATTTAGGTTGCATTTAAGGCAGTGGATCTTAAACTTTTTCTGTCAGTCCTTCAGAAGCCAATAACGTTAAGACCCCTAGCAAAAGTGAATTATCATTGACATGAATCATTAACAATACAGGCAATTGAAATACAAAAGAATTGCTAGCATCAAAGACCTTTTGTTTGTTTATGTTCCCCTATATTTATGTAGCTTTAGGTCCTCTCAACATCCAAGACCCCCCTGAAGTTGCTCTACACCCCCAGGAGGGCCCGCCCCCCAATTTGAGAACCACTGATTAAAGGTAAATAAAATTATTCATAATCTATCCATCTATTTAAAAATATATATAAAAGCCTATTTGATGGAATGACGAGACCACAAAAACATCCAACTCTGTACATGCTGATAGAGTATATACTGTAAGTGACACTGTCAGAAAATGTGGAATAAGATTTTTTCCAACAGGAACAACTATATAGGGGGAAACTGAGAGAAAACTGAATGTTAAGGCATTGTATTGTGCTTGAGCATCTTCACACCCGGTGTGTTGATCTTTCTTATGTCCCTGGCAACTGATTTGATTATCTACAAGATATGAATTTCGCTAAATGTTCTTGCTTTTGTTTTTGAATATTTTCTGAACTCTGGATGTACCCAACCTCTGTGTAATGAGCCTGAGAATTGGGTAGGATTAACTCTGGATAACTGCAATGAGATTGCAATTAAAGTTTCAATTAAACTGCAGCTACAGTTAGGTTACTCCCGCCTGGGTGTTGATTTGTGATCCGTTAATTTGGAACAAGAGTATTCCAGTAAGTAAGACTTCTCACTCTCTCTCACTTTCTATCTCTCAAATTACTGGTTTGGGAGCTTCATTATTAATCCTGGGTATTCTGTCTACAAAAGGACAGTATATGTGTCACTGAATTTTCCGTTTGGACATGCCATATTATGCCACAGAGACAAGGCTTTGCTGGATGGTTTCCACAAGAGATGGTACAGAATTTGTGTATTTTTCTCAAATTAATGAAATAATTCATCGATGCATGGAGGATGCTCAGTGCAATATGAGGATCTGATTGTTTGCGGAAGTTGATTGTACCCCAGGGTTGCCAGCACTATAAATATTGCTGTTGGCGACTCGTGTGTGTGTTTGTGTGTGCAGCATTGGAAGAGCTCAAACACTCCCTCTTAGTTTCAGGGGAGAGCAGAGGACACTGGAATGAGAGGTAATGGTGGCAGCTAAATAGGCTATAGGAATATCCTACAAACTACAAAAAGCTTGAGGTCTTGCCAATTCTGCTCCTGGCACAATTTTGCTTGAGTAACCTACAAAGTCCAAAGCAGATGAAAGATGTCCTCATCTTATCCATTTACTACTTCTTACATGCCATGATGTGTAACATACTTCTACGTCTGATAGATAAAGCTTGAAATTTCTCAAGGGAGAATATACATTTGATAAATGTAATATGCAAGTTAACAGTAGGGGGAAGCAACCTCCTAAAATACATTGGTGTACATACACAAAGAAAAATGAGGGGGCACAGAATTACAATGTCTAGAGCAGTTTGCTAAAATGGAGATTAAATTAATTGTAGAATTAAAATATCAGGCTGGTTCTGGTGTGCACATATTAAAGACTGAGACAGAAACTCTCCCGTTATATTGAACATATTAAAACACCTTAACTTATCTCTTAATCTTACATTTTAGAATTATTGTGATCTTATTATCTACATTTACTCGCCATAATGATATCTAAAAGACACGCACAAACACAAATAAGAGCAAATATTAAATCACCAGTAATTAAAACATCAAGTATTTTGCAGGGCGAAGTGTCACGTTGCATGTCTGTCTATCTGGTAAGATTCTATGGAGTGGCTGCTGTATTGTTTTGATTAGGAAAATCATTTGGACAGGTAGGTTACACCTACATATTATGTTATCTAAAGTAGTTTTGACTGGGTGGTTCAACAACATGTACATTAGATATTTCATAATGATGGTTGAAGTCGTATCTTTCGTATCGATTTCGCGTAAACTAAAGCAAAACGTTAGTTGCCCGTCTTATTTAGCTAACAGCGTGCTAACCCATGCTAGCAGTACAGCTAGCTAGTAGCTAAGCAGTCCAACATGCTAGTGCCAGACCATTGTTTCTGATAATGACCATTTCAATGCACTTTTTTTGATTTTTAAGGTTATCGTTAGCCGTAATGAATATCAGACATTCGACGTCCGTACATCATTAGGGTCGTGGTGCTAAAACCGCATTTCAAGTACAAACAGCTGTTCAAAGCTAGCTCGTATAAGTGAACGAAGCTAATTGTGAACGCTAGCCAATAACAGTGCGGTTTGCCAGCTGGCTAACGTTATTCGGTTTGTGTGAATTTCGCCAACACCTCAGCTTAACATTATATTTAAGCAGCTAAGCTGAATGTAATTCTGACCGCTCACTGGCCTGTGTGACGACATTTTAACATAAGGACCACAGCACTTGGTTACATTAATGTAGCGTTAACTACATTAATGTTAGCCGACGCTTCCAACACTGCTGACTTGGTGCTCATACAGAAACGTAATGTGCCATACATTAGCGTTATTACAACTAACAGATCATTTTAAATGTTAACGTAACACCCCATTGTTGTATTAAAAGCTTTTTAGCTAATTCTTAGGGTTTTAAAATGTAGGAATAACCCAGTTTCAAGTAACGTTATACGTGGTCCTTGGAAAGCAGGGTTAGCTTATTCTGGGATTCATAGTCGGTAATAATGGGATGTAAATAGTATAATGTACAGCAGTTATATACCATTTAAATATATGTAAAGTGTTGTTTTAGGGATTTCAAAAGATAAGCCATCCGTGTAAAGAGTTAAACGGCATACATTTTCACACACGCTAATGTTATATTGTTCGTTTCCATGCAGTTTATCGTTACATCATGCATTGTGTGTTTTCCTCCAGCAGAGGGCACTGCAGCATAGTTTTGTATTTGATTGGTTTGGAAAGCAGAACACTGGGAATACATTTGTGGGCTGTTTTTGTTCATAGCTAAGCCTCAGCATCTTAAAGCCATGCCAGCAAGTAAAGTTTCTTTGTAGCTCAAACTCAAGCTGCTCAGAATATGTGATGGGTAGTATAAACGTCTTCTATAAACTGTCTTCAGTCATCACAGAAATGTTTGAAAGAAAACCCTGCTTTCCATAGCTGTCTGCTGAAGTGTGTGTGGGGGGGGGGGGGTTCCCTGCATATTCTCTTCCCAAAAGGACTTTTGGTGGTAGACAGGCTAATTCCTCTGTGACATTTCCCACAGTATTTAGTGGCAGGGGGCAGAAACCACATCCAGGATACAGAGGCTCACTTCCCACGTAGTGATTTAGAAGAGGTCAAAGGTTAAAACACAAGGATATTGTTCCTGTTTTCAAAACTCAATCTTGGCTTTTTGCCCACAAGTACTGAGTCAGCATACCTTTTAATTATGTGTTTTCTCAATTCATTTAGTCCTTTTTAACATAAATTATCTAATGCTTTCTTAAAGTTTTTTTAAGAGTTAAACACATTGTAATTGCAAGCTAAGATTTAACACAACTCTCTCTAACACTGATGTTTTAATTGCAAAGTGTCTTTAAAGGCTAGTTTGACCAGACGTTCCGCTACAGAACAGTTTTTTTCACCCCAGAGAGCATTTTAGCATGGAGGCGTTCTCTTATCTGTAATTACGAGGCAGTACCATGAGACTACTTCCTCCTGTTGAAAATAGGCTACATTAGGAGTGAGGGTGATGTGTTTTTTTTCATTCACTTGCCCAATAATGATTTATAGCAGCAACAGATTTTTGTTAAAGGAAATGTGGCGGGACAAGGGTAGGTTTGAAGCCAAGACTGGGAGGAGTTTGAATGCGAAGTAGAAAAGGCGATACTGCTGCAGATGAACAGTGTGCTCTCTATTTCCTGGCTGGACAGCATCCCTAGTGACAATGCTCCACGCCTAACCCTAACCCCCAACACTGTCTCAACATGCGTAAACCAACTTCATTGGACAGCAATATCTGCCCACATATTTTTATCTGGCTCCCCCCCCACCATACTTTTGACTAATCACTAACCTTACCAGATCATATTTTAATACCAGTGAAGTTTGTAGTTCTTACTGTACTTGAAAGAGAAGTTTCCTATTCTAACATCTCCTGCTGTTTTCCTCCAGATCTTCCCTGTAGTCATAGAAGTCATGGAAGAGCAGTCAGGCTCACCTGGAGGCAACGCCGACAACAACAGCCAGAGAAATGGAGATGAGGTAAGAGATGAACTTCCGGATATCAGATGACATATTTTTCCGTTTCAAACTCCAAGAATGGCCTGCCAGTGAATATAATGAGGGATTGCTACCTGAAGCTTCGAAACTTATCTGTTTTTGTTATCCATGCAGAAGCCTAGACGTGGCAGCTGGACCAAGGGCAGGAAGAGGAAGAAGCCAATGAAGGACAGCAACGCACCCAAGGCCCCCCTAACGGGCTATGTTCGCTTCATGAACGACAGACGGGAGCAGCTACGGGCAGAGCGTCCAGACGTGCCCTTTCCGGAGATTACGAGGATGCTGGGCAATGAGTGGAGCAAGCTGCCCCCTGAGGAGAAGCAGGTCAGTGAAGAAGTCAGGATTACACATTGAGCAGTGAGCACACAACTGTGAGGAAACGTTTGTCAAAGATCTGAATTTCTTTCCTTTTCACGTTGTATATTATTCTGTTTAAGATTACCAGCAAAATGCTTACAATTCGATGAAAATATTAATGTAGTTTAGTGCAGCAACAGTTAATAACAGCGGCTTTAAGAAAGCAGTGGAAAAGAATAAACAGCAGAGCCAACAGCAACATCTGTTTAGGTTTTTGATTAACAAGGTGGTAGACTTTTTAATTGTCATTAACTTTGGCTTTCAGTAATTGCACCAATGGTGCCCCAAAGGGCTTTACTGAAATATTCACCTGCAGCATGCAAACACTTAAAACAATCCCCAGCCTGATTTAACACCCTCACACCAGCAGATACTTTTATCTAATGAGTCACTGTGCACAAAATGAGTGTAGGAACAGAAGTCTGTCTCGTCTACGGTGTCCGTGTTTTGAAGCTGACAAAACTGACTAGGCTTGGTAGCTGTTCGACATCCTTTTACAGATTATACTGCCATAGTTTGATGGCATCTTGTTCTGTGTCCTAGATATGACTTCAATTGTGGAGACAGAAAATGATTATTGTGCATAAAGTTGCTTTATTGTAGTGATGGAACATTATTACAGTCATGTTCAGGGAGATTTTCCATAAGGATTAGTCATTCTATTGCACCACATCTTTTTACATCAACAGCTCACGAGTTCATTTGTCACATTTATTGTTATTATATTCCCTTCTGTATTTCAGAAACCTTTTTTTCTGAACTGTGCATCTAACATAATGACAGTATTAATGCTTCACATGTCCTTTAACACAATTCCTCAGCTTTGATAACTAAGCACCTCATGCATAGCTACTACCAGGGCATTGATATTATTCAAAGTTAGAACTTGCAGTTTTTTGCCTTTATTTCCAGAGCAGTTTTGACAAGACACGACGTGTTTTTGTTTTTAAATCCAAAGGTGGGATAGAGCTTTGCACCGTGTTGTTGTTTGACACTGATTTCAGAGCTGATTTTGGTATGTCAGTATCCTGGGACACAGCCTTTGCACAACAATGGTTTTATTAGTATTTCATTTAATACCTAAACTAATTGTATTACAAGATGCATTTTTGTTACAAGCCTTAAGTGAATGTAGGTTATTAATAATGGAAGATTTTTGTCTTTTGAAGGAAGCGGATGCTGATTAGGAATAATTACTTCCACTTCCTTTTTTGTTTTGGTTGAGTATTCCTGGCTCTTCTAACCTTTCCGTCTTCTCTCTGCAGCGATACTTGGATGAGGCGGAGCGAGATAAGGAGCGCTACATGCGGGAGCTGGAGAAGTACCAGAAGACCGAAGCCTACAAACATTTCACCAGGAAGGTCCAGGAGAAGCAAAAGGGCAAGCGGCACAGGGGAGGTGAGACCTGGTTAGAGAAGGAACAGGATGACATGTTAGCTAGCTATCCTGACAGTTAGCCCATCATTTTCAGATACAACTGTTGAAAAAGTAATTGGCAAGTTAAACACTTAATATGTCTGGTGACATTTGGTTAAATCAGGTATTGTGTTTGCTGAACAGTACCTTCCCAGACAGGTTTACTTACATGAATCTGAAATGAACATGATACAACTCAGCAAGCAGTCTGTTTTAAATGAGTATTCATAAATAAATGAATATAGTATGGGAAATTTAAAATCTCTGGATTGGCTTGAAAATGATTGTTTTGACCCTAAAAAATGTTTGCAATGTTTTACTCCATGAATAAATTCCATTATTTGGTGTAACTCAGAACTCACTATTTGCTTTGCCCAGTCAATGGAAATGTGGCAAAGAAAGGGGATACTTTTCGAGTCCGTAGTAGTAGTTCAGGTTATGAGTTCAGCTTGAGGCCAAGAAGCTGTTGGTGTGCTCACACAACACATGGTCTACATTATCTGTTCCTATTTTGTTACTGTGGATGAAGCTCAGTTTAAATATCAAAAAATATTGATGACATAAACAGCCCTGCCTTGGCAAAATATTTTGAGAAAAGTCAAACTGCTCAGCTTAAAGTAGATGCTCTGCCTCCTTTCAGTTGGTTCACAGTGTAAAGTGCAGAGATGGGGATTTTCTGGATTACTTTGATTCTTTCTGTCAGTTCACGATGTAGTAAAGGCACTCTGCTCGGGGGGAAACATGAATCATCTGCTGTCCCCTTTATTTATTATTTCCTTCCTTTCCAGATGTTGGGCACCAGGTAGCCAACGAGGCTCTTCATGAGGTCAGTTAACTCTTTTCTGCCCTGTCACACTTGCATTTGCTTTCCTTAACATGTAAATATCATATTTGATTAAGGGAAAAATTCCTATTCTAACTATATTAGAAGAGGATTTACAATTGTATTGCGCCACAGTTCCTGTCCAGGCAATGAAAGCACAAAGTTGGGTATAATGGTGCAGTGGATGAGCCTTTGGTGTGAGAGACCGGGGTTCAATCCCCCACTGTGACACGTCCATGTCTCCCTGAGCAAGACACTTAACCCCTAGTTGCTCCAGAGGCGTGCAGCCTCTGACATATATAGCAATTGTAACTCGTCAGCTAAATGAATAAATGTAAGTCTTATCAGAGAGACCTGAGTGCCTGTTCTGACTACTCATATAGGATGTCACATAAAAAGAAAGGTGGTCAGTGAACAACATAAACAGATTTTTCTTACAGTCAGCATTCATTTTAACTAACTTAAAATTTCAAATTAGATTCACAGATGAGTTAAAATAACTGTGTCCTTACAGGAGTTATAAAGGTAGGTTTTGACTTTAAAAGTGAACCTGTGCAAAAATGTGAAAGTGTCACTGATTTCATGTAATGTGTGAGTATGTGTAATCATGGTTGTAGTATGTTATAGCTGTTTTCTTACCCAGGAACCTACATCTGTTGTGTTTGCCTTCCTCTTGCTCTCCACATTAAGTGCTTATTGTTGCATCACTAAAGCTGGGTTAATCCGCTTTGGCGTTGTTTGTTTTCGTGATCCACACACTTGGCTTCTACTAAGTGTGTAATTAATTTTCAAGTTCTGCATGTAATTAAGAGGTTTCCTTTTGTAAGGTTTGTGGCATACCTCCTGAAGGGTTACTGCCAAGGTGACTTTATTCCTGTGGGAATGCTGATTCCCCTCTAGATTTGAAAGGACAGGGGATTCAGCATATATTTTTATTATGTAACACATTTTTAATTGCGAACATATTGCAAACCATTTCAGGGCCTTTGATATCTCTAGCAGCACTGTTGGTGAAATTACTTCTCTATCCTCATTTCTTAAACTGTACCAGTGTATTTCCCCCGTGGCCATGTATGAAATCAATTACCTACCTGCCTACAGCCCAGCTAGATAAATGACCACCTCTCGCTGTCAGTCTGTGTGACCAAATGTTTTCGCTGTTTAGCTTATCTCCTTCCCTCTTACTGGCTATCAACAGAAGGATGCAGAAGGGAAGGACAGAACTGTGTTTGACATACCGATCTTCACAGAGGAGTTTCTCAACCACAGCAAAGGTAAAGAGCTTGAACGAAGCCAGCTTGTCTTGTTGAGAAATAATTTGTGGTTGGTGTGCTGTGACTTTTTTAAACCTCCATTTGTCTTGTCTTATGTTTCTAAACACATTCCTCTGATACCTCAAGAGAACTTAGTTTTAAAGTGCTTCATCATCCCAGAATAGTTGTCCACCGAACTCAGCGATGCCCTGAACTTAAAAAGAACACACCTCTCTTAGCAAATGAAAAATTGATGATGGCACTAACTGCCGTATCTCGCCGTTTTGTCTCGCTGGTCGCCTCTGCTCTACCATTGTGTCAGTTTCTCAGTGTTTGCGTATTTCTCAACAGCACGTGAAGCTGAGATGCGGCAGCTGCGAAAGACCAACATGGAGTATGAGGAGCGTAACGCTGCGCTGCAGAAACATGTGGAGAGCATGCGCGGGGCAGTAGAGAGGCTGGAGGGCGACGTGATGCAAGAGAGGGGACGCAATGGGCTCCTCCACCAACACCTGGAAACCCTGCGCCAGGCACTCACCTCCAGCTTCTCCTCTGTACCACTGCCAGGTGAGAACTCGTATCACTGTTTTCTCTGGTAATCCCAGTTCCAAAAACATAACAAAGAAGTCCAAATAACAAGTAAATTAGTGTTATTTTAATATAATTCTCCTCAATTAAAGGTTTGTAGGCAGTTTTCAGCTGTTTAATTATTATTCCACTTGTGTATCCATTTTAAGTAAGGGAAATTCTATTTTTCTTCTTTCAATAAAAATAAATGACTCAATGCTAGAGGACTTAAGGTTGAGCATTTCTGCAGCCTCTTTAAATATCGATTTTTGCTGATAAAGAATCTTGTCAAAACTGAAATTTATTCCTATTTTTTAAAATCAGCATTCTGCTGTGAGGAAAAAGAACAGAAAAAAATTTCTGATATTTATCAATGTCCATTATAAACGGCTTTTGACTTGATACAATACAAATAACCCATCCCTAGGCATAAACACAAAACTGTAGTAATCTTATTAGTTCCAGAGTCACAGTTTAAGGGTGGCGAGCATAGACCGTATTAAAGAAGTTTACGTAGTCTCGATGACGTCACCTATTGGTTTGTGGACTACCATTTTGAATCCTCGAGTTTGACAGTCTTCTTGATTTTTTGGAACCAGACAGAACAAGATGGAAGAGATGGTGGTGCTAGCTTGGTTAGCAAGGTGCATCCTTAATTCACTTTAACTATGATAATAAGAAAAAATTGTGTGTCCATGTGTGGCCCTGCGATGGACTGGTACCTGTCCAGGGTGTACCTGTCGCCCAATATTGGCTGGGATTGGCTCTAGCACCCCCGCGACCCTGTACACAGGACAAGCGGTTGACGATGGATAGATGTATGTGATAATAACTGGGATGCTAGTTTTGGCTAGCTAAAAGCAGGCTTAAAACAAAATGTAGTTACTGGAAAAAAAATTTTTATTGCGAGGCAAAAAACAAAATGACATAACAATACAGGGGAAACGAGAAAAATACAAAATACAGATAAACAAAAATAAACATAAATGCATGAATAACAACAGCTTGGTCGTGTGTATGTGTGTGTGTGTAGAAAGGCTGGTGGGGAGCTACAGGGGTGCAAAGGGGAACTAAATGGAACAAAGAGATAAAAACTTAACCGGAAATTTTAAAGTCTACTCCTAATATGCTTGTTTTAACGGGGCTGGTAAAATTTACATAATACTATTCACCGCTAACCTTCATTAACAGGTTGCCATGGTAGCGACTTGTCCAACCCAAGCATACCCTGCTATTTTCCTCTATATGGTACCATAATTTACTAAATGAACATTGTGCTGTGTTGAAGAGGACAACCGATTGAGACCATAAACTCCTTCCAAAGTATTTACTGAGGTAATAAATAAAGTGAGAAGAATGCAATCAGACCTCTTTTTGTAACCAGTGGAGTCAAAGCCCTGCTGGCCGTTAGAAAGAATGAAGGTTTAAAGCACTTCCGCATTGGCTAAACTTTTTCATACACCCAATGTGTATTTACTGTGCGTTGAACTCCAACATCTCTCCTCCTGGATAGATACATACCTAAACAGAACCACCTGATGCTCTTTTAGAGTCTAGCCATGCAAGTCAGGCTTTGAACCCTTCTTAATTTGACCTGAATGTGGTCCTTCTTTGTTCACACTTGTTTTATGCACATACATAACCCGTGCTGAGCTCCCACCCACAGGTTTCCTCTTGCAATATTCTCCACACCTATTTGAATTTCTTTCTCACACAGGAGACACAGACTCTGCAAACATCACAAACTGACGTTAACACCACTGGAATGATTTCATAAGAGCTTGACACTGAAAGATGATTGCAAAATCCACTTAGACCTGGCCTCGGGGAAAGCTCTGTGGCACATTCTGAAAAATGTCAATAAATAGAATAACTGGTAACATCAAAGCTTGTTTTGAGAGTAAGCATGTTTGCCTCTGATTTTATTGCTTCTTCAGTAATTGTGCCATTTCAATTAATTAACTTACAAGAATTGATCACACTTGCTCAATGTTTTATATATATTAAAATTTCTAGATATAATAAAAAAAATTTCAACCATGGCAAGTCTCAGAATCACTCAGATCACCCCTGCTCCACTCAGTTGATGTCCAAACATAGAACATTCATAGCAGTGAACATAAAGGTGGAAGATTTTTGCAGACTATGTTGGCAGAAACAGATAACACTGAACATGAATATGTACATTGTCGTCCTACAGGAAGTGGAGAGACACCCACCCTTGAAACCATCGACTCCTACATGAAGAGGCTCCATAGCATCATTGTCAGTAACCCCCAAGAACACGATAATCTCATCAACACCGTGAGAGACGTGGTCAACCGTTTGGACAGGTAAGAGGGCTTTTGATGACTTCAGTAGAATTTGAGTTGTCATTGTCGCTTACTTATTTTTAATGAATTGTCTCGTCAGTAAAATATAAACAGTAACTACCAATTACAAGTGAACAGTGCCTAAAAGGAGGCAATACAATTCCTTTCTCAGTCTGAATCAGTTACTCTAATTGACAATTTCACCTCAAGGTCCATTTATTCAAGAGCTTGTTTAATTGTTTCAGCAGTGTTCGATTATCTTTGTTTCAGCTGTGAATGAATTATGATTGTCTTTCGCTGTCTTGTGCCCTAGATAATTGGACCAAGTCCAGCTGATTTGACGGATTGAGATTCACTGTGACGCTGAGTAGATGCTGCTTCTTGCCGGTGAATCATCCTGTCGATCTGTCATCCCAATTGATTTTAAAACGTCTTTTATTACTCCGCTAAGGTGATGTAGGTCAAGGTGATGTAGCGCCTCATATTTATTAATTCCTTTTTTTACATACTTTTAAAAACTCTGTTCACATTTTATTAATATAGCTGTAGTTTGTTTTGTTTAAAATAATCAGATGACAAGACATGAAACAGTTTTCGGTCACACTCATGTTCTGTCTTCACCATCCATTTGTAGCAAATGCTTCCGCAACAATATCTGAACCATTATCAACCACCTTCTGATCAAAGAGAAATGTGTCAGTGGGTTTGTGATTACTATATCCAAGAGATACTGTTGAGCTGACTTTCTATTTTTCAATGCCCTGTTGAAGAAAAACATGTGCCATTCATTCTTCATTTGTGTGTGAAAAAAAGTGTTTGTGTTTTCAATAAACTGTATTTACATCATGTGAGAAGTCAGTTTGTTTGGATGGGTTTATGACATGCTAGGGATAAGATTGCATCAAAATGAAAATGAAATTGGGTACCATTGCCCTAGATTTCTTGTCTTATGTTTTATCTTATTCAGTAAGCCACTCAAAGTTGGTGTAGTTTCTACAACAGCCACTGTCAAGTGCTCAAATGATCCTTCTTTGATGGAGTGTCTAAAATTTGTAATAAATATTAAAGCAGATGGTTCAATTATTTGTCAAACTGAACAGTGCATTCCCAGTTTGTGATTTGTCACACTAGCAAGAACTGTTGACTTTTAACAACCTAGTTTTAAAGTCATTCTACTAATACAGTATCAAATAGAAGTATGTGGCTAATCTGCTGAAATATGTCACTGTTTGGAATTGCGCTTGGTCTTAACCAATCTACTGTAAGTAAATAAGCTTAGGTTAATTCAGCAGCTCTGCTGTAATTTACCGGAATCTAGAGAAAGAGACACAAATTACTTTGCTCATTCACAGCCACTGAGCTACACACAGCTTGGGGAAAAAAATTACCTACTGTTTCATGCTTAAGGATTTTCCAAACAAAATGACGGTAGAAGAAATTCTTTTTAGTAAATCCCGATTTATAACATAATTTGCTTGGAAATTTAAAAAGAACGTTCTTCAATGATCAGGAGCTGGCCAATTAGCTTGTTGCTAACATAGTACTGGATTTGTTTTCAACTTGATATTATGAGCCCTTCCTGTTTCCACTTAGTAATGCCCATTTCCTCTCTGCCATTTGAGATTTCCTGTCCATAATGGCCGCATGTGTCACAGTGTTATATCAAACAATGTCCCTAACAGATGTTCTGTTCCCACAGGAGAGTATTACGGGTTTAAATGAAACATTCATCTAGGGGTCACCAAAGTGACACTTATCCAGAGGGGGGCATGAATGTGTGTACCAAATGTTGGTCCATACTAATCCATCCAGTAGTTGGCTAGACATTTCACTCACAACCAGACATGTGAACCTCACGGTGGCGCTAGAGGAAAAGTCAGGCGAAGTCCATAGGATAAATCACCTGGCAACCACGAATGTCTGTGCAAGATGTTGAGCCATTTTACTGGATTAGTCAAAGGTTTTACCTGCTGATGGTGCTAGATGAAAAGATAGAGCATCATAAAGCCATTAGACTTCATCCACTGGGTGCCATAGATATCTGTGCCAATTTTCATACAACAGTTGACGCTGACATGACATGAGACATTTCGCTAAAAAAACACAAATGTCAGCCTCATGGTGTAGTGAGAGGAAAAGTCAGAATCACAAAAGTAACTAACTGCTGCTGGTGTGTCTAAATCGGCTGAATATAAAATAAATCCTAGCTCTTGTATGTGTTATTATATGGGACATAAACTACATCCAGTAGAGCTTCTGTGACCAGTGAGACACTCACTACCTTATTAGTGTTCTTTACCTTTTAATTTCTGGCATCATCTTTATCATGTTCACGGCTTGGTGTGTGCAGTAGGCCCCAAAGCTCATTTATATAATGAGCTTAGCTAGGGCTTTCTTTGCTTTGATGTTGGCCCAAAGCTGTTAAAAAACATGGGAAAGGGAGGATAAATAATGAATGGTGAAGAGTTATGGTTCATACCTTGTTATCACATTTTACCTTGAGTTCAGATGTTGGCCCATTTCACCCAAAGACGACAGAAAAGCAATGCGACTGTGCTCCATTCCCTCATGATGTCCCTCCACTTGCCCCCTTCTTGCCACACCATCCTCACACCCAGTCTTTTGTCTTCACAAAGAAATAAAAACAGGCCCCTCCCTCCTCTGTAGGGCCATGTCTCCATCCTTGGCCGCCTTCCTGCCCATGGGGCGACGGGGTTGACATTAGGAGAGAGGAGCCAGCTCCAGCAGAGAGTCACAGATCCTGGACCAGAGGAGGGAGGGAGTGACTCAGAGCAGAGAGGATGAGTCAGGCGTCATGTGCTGAATTGGCACTCGACGGGCTCAATGCCCTGAATGGTTTCTGTTAGCGCCATTATGGTCAAAATGATCTACCTTTTGTTATTGCACTCGGGCATGGTCAGAGCAGTTGGCAGTGTGGCTTTGAGTTATGCAGGCCAATAAACATTTGTGGAAAACTTTTGTATCATCTACAGTGACTCACAACAGTGATAGATTTTTCTAAATGCTTTCTGGTGGCACAAAATTCCCCCCTTTATTTAATCAATAAAGAATTCCGTTTCAGCAAGTCCCTGCTGAAAGCCATTGTTGACCTCAGTTTCTGGGGTGGGAGGTGACAATTTACTTTGATTAAGTAGCTATTGTACATGTACATGTACTTTTTCTGGTCCATTTGAAAATCAAGTTAAACAACTTCTTTATGAGTAGGAGAATCACCATTGAGATTATTTTAAACAATTTGTACTGTATTGCATGAACATTCCTCTGCACACAGGCTCAGAGCAGAAACACGGGTTCATTGCAATAGGTTTTATGTTTCCCTGTTGATTTTCTTAACAGGACATTAAGGTCAGATATTACAGTCAGCTGCGGAACAGCTTCCCTGCAGCTAATGTTTTTGGTTGTCTTCTGTGGGCTGGTTAAAGACACTTAACCAGGGCAGATACTTGCTGTAACAATGATTGTCTCCTGAATGCTGTACTGGAAATGTGTTCTTAGGTAAAGGTTTATAGATTATTTAGATTATTACAAGTTTCCTACTTCCATAAAAGGGAGAGAAGTAACATCTAATTTTTCAGGAAGAATTATTTTTTTCTTCATTCAATCATCAGGGACAATGTTTTTATTTTCAACTCTGTTGCTGATGTGAGTCAGTTCAAACTTCATTGCGTCTGTTCCAGCCCACCCTGACTCATGCTGCCCAGTCTCGCTCTCCCTCTCTCACATCTTTGGGAGTGAGCTGAAGCATATCAGTATTTTGTGATGACATGCACTCTACTGATAGGACTGCCTTATGCATATTGACTTTCTTTTGGCTTCTCGTTCAATTCAAAATGGATTTGGCCATACAGACAGAAATAAATGAGGGAACTGAAAATGACCTTGTCTTTACCACAGCCAAGGAATACAGGGCACTTTTGGAAACCCACTGTATACAAATGATCACAAAATACTGTTAGTAATGATTGTGCAAGTAAATTTGGAGTTAAGATATGTCTGAAAAGACAATGATGGTAATTTGTCCACATGATAAAATAGCCTATTGGAGCAAAATTGTGCTTTGATAGTTATCAGGCAAGTTTTTACCTGTTCTTTGGACTTTAACTGCTATGTCACCAATCTTAATACACCTAAACACTGAGAGAAGGGCTTTTTGAATTAACTACCCCAGCATATAATGCAAAAGTAGACATCTCAAAATGAGCAATTTCCATCTCGTGCTCCTGACTTAGATCATCTCTAAAGACAAGCATGATACTATCCTGCAGGTGAGTGATGCATGCAAATTATACAAAACCCATCTCAAAAGTATATAACAATACCCCTCTAAGTCTTATTTATTCAGCTGGAGCGGGAGAAAATTATTCTTTAAAAGGCAAAAGAGGGAAGTGCGAGTCATCCTTCCTCTTCCTTGATCCATCTCCCCCAGCCCTGGAAAATCCTTGCCCTCAGTGCCCCGACTGGGGCAGGGAGGAGGAGGAAACAATGCTAGGAATGTGTAAAAAACTTGAGTCATTCCCACATGTCAACCTCTTGCTCAGCTCCTCCTCCTCTTCCCAAATGCATGTTGCCTTCAGGGTCTTCTCATAAGCTCTTTTATCCAAGTTCTAAAGTTGTAAATGCCACTTGTCCATACAAACCATTGTTGTAGCAGCCTGAAACATACAATCCGTTGCTTGCTTTACTTTTATTCTAAAGAATGCTCCAGAGCAGCAAATGTTTAAGCTTCTACAAACTGGGTACGATCTGAATGGTCTCTTACATCAACTGCAAAGCACTAACATCACAACTAAATGTACAGTTTATTACATAAGCTGCTGTTTTCCTAAACTAAACATTATCACCAGAGTGACGGAAAAAAGACAGTTTTACTGTTACCACTTATGTGTTTTTCATGTGAACTTGGCTTTTAATTATGATTAGAATATTTTCCAACTGCAACTGAAGGCAGCAGGAGAGGAGGGGATTTCCTCTCCAACCCTCATTATCCCTTATGAGAAGCATCATGTCAGTAAAAGACACACTGACTGCACTCAGCACTTTTTAATAACTGTAACATGCACACACTCACTGTGGCTTTGTACTGTACATCTGTTTGCTTCCTCCTGATGTCAGCTGTCTTTTCCATACAAACATGGGGTTTGAATAATATGAATAATTTAAACTTGAAATCACTTCTGCTTTGAAGTGTGGCCTCATAATTTATCATCAGTGAAAGTGGCTTTTCTTTGCAGGGATTAACGGAAATAGCACTGATGGACAAATATCAGAGCAACACAAAGTACCATATGTAATACCCTGGAATAGCATAGTAATGCATAAGCGGTATAGGTACAATGCAGTTGAACTGAGAAGGTAGTTTACAGTGTTGGAAGAAGTATTCTGTGTTTACTTGAGTAAAATGAGCAATACCACAATGTAAAAAGATTCCATTACAAGTAAAAGCCCTTCAGTTGAAGTTTTTAAGTATTAGCAGCAAAATGTACTTTAAATATCCAGTACTTGTTATGCATAATGGTGTTATTTTCCTAAAATTTCAGATTGTTATTACTACTATTCATGTGTACAAAGCATTTAAAAGATCAGTTGAGGTAGAGCTAATTTTACGCAGTACTGCTGGGTAGCGTAATCTAAAAATGCATCATGTTTTATAAATTGGTCATATGTCTTGTGTGCGTAAATCTGTGCAAAATAACTATAGTTGTTAAATAAATGTAGTGAAGTCAAAAGTTAAAAGCCTGGAAATACTCTAGTAAGCATAAGCTCTTGACAATTGCACATAAGTAAATGTACTTACTTTCTACCACTGGTCATTGAACACTACTGAATATAAA